CTTCCATCTTCTAGAAAGCCAAGTAGTACCAGTCGTAGTGATGTGGTAAGTTCAATGCCCTTGTTTTCTTCCTTTTTCTATTTAATTCATTGTTATTTCTTCCTCCAACTCAGTATACCAAGACCAAAGTTAGAAAATTTTATAGGTCACTGTGAAGCTAAGCTCTTACATACAGCAGCATGTGTTATTGCCAGTAACTTTCACCCAGAATCCAACACTATGTCAGACGAGGAATACCACCAGTCTGATTTGGCTCAGTCAGAGACACATCCGGTACAGGATATAACAAGCTCCCTTACCCCACATGATCTTGATTGGATCAGGCAAACTTATTCAATTTCAAACAGTGTTACTCTCGGACTTCCTTCACTTGAGGATAGAGTGTCCTCCTTTTACCCAACTGAGATTTGTTTCTATGAGTCTACTTTCATTGCTGGATTGTGTTTTCTAATCCCTCTTTTTATTAGGGAACTGTTGCGTCACCTTAATCTTGCTCTTACTCAATTCTCCCCGAATGCCTGGATAACAATGATGGGTTGTTTAGTTCTGTGGCGAGCTTGTTGTAATACCTCGCTTACTATCCAAGAGTTTCTTCATTTCTAGTGATGGCTGGGAATTCTTTCCTGATGAAAGTACTTTCCTACGAATAGGGACTTTCATTCCTCGTAGTGCCGTGTAGTTAGAATTCCACTAGTGAGTTACCTATAATAATACCCTCTTTTGTTTTAAAACTCAAAAAATTTTGGTTTGAGTTATTAACAGAGTTGTCATCCTCTCAGGCTTTAAAGAGATTATTATTTCATCTGATGATCTCCAGCGAATAAAGGAACCCTTTAACCACTCAGTGAGGGACTGGTATTCACTCGTGACACCTCAGACTTTGTTTACCCATGGGATTGGTCCTCAGCCTATTGGCAAGTCCTCTATGACTATATCCCAAAAACTTAATAAGAGGCTTCTAGCTCAGTTCAAAGAAGGCTCAAGTGACTTCCCACCTATTTCCCCCGCCAAGAAGAAAAAAGAGAAGCCTACTATTACAGCACAAAGAGTTTTACCGATTTCAATTGTTTCTCCGCATGTATCCAACTCGCAATTCCCTCATCAGCTTGTGGATGAGACTAGGCCACCCCTTACTGAAGCAGAGGTGCTCCCCTCAGACCCCTACTTTTTAGCAGCATCTATTCTAGGCAATGCTCAACTTGTTTTTAAGAAGATAAGTGAGTCTTTGTCGAAGGAGGATATGATGTATCTGAATTCTTGCCCTCCAACTGAGATTGTAGACCGGCTCATGCATGATCTCGCACGGGTTAACTCTCTCACCATCCTCCGTTTTTATTTAGCTTTTCTTTTCCTCTTCATTGTAACTTTTTGTTCCCATGTGTGTACAGGTTAATACACACGCGTATTACTTATCGTGTCTAGCTGCAAAAGGAAAGGAGCATTACACCAATATGTTAGCTTCTACTCGCTCCCAACACCAAGTCGATTTACAATTGGAGTGTGATAAACATGAGGCCGCTCTACAAGTAATGCGTGTTAAGTTAGAAGCAGAACGAGCTTGTTATGCATCTTATGTGCAAAAGCTCGACAAGGAGATGTCCCAGAAACTGATGGTGGAAAGATCCAATGCAGTGGATGAGTTTAAAGCCTCACCAACCTTCAAGGGGATTATGTCGAAGTCCTACTTTGATGGCTTCGAAGATTTTCGGAATCGTGCTTCTTCTGAGTTTGCAGACCAAGAATTTTCTGTCATTCAACTGGATGAAGCGAGTGACTCCGAATAGGATAAATGTGTAGCCATTCATTTACTTGCTGCTATGTTTCTCTTTGTGCTTGAAATTTTTCTTTCTTTACAATCAGTTTTCATTTATATTTGTAGGGTTAATGAGTAGGATAGACAGTTATGTTTTGCCATTGCGATTGTCGCATTATGTTATTCTATTGACATTTTTGGTCGGCTCGTCCCTTTAATAAGGAAAGTAGATTAAGACGAGTTTTACTCAGCTCATCTATGGAATAAAGTAAGTAGATGAATATGAGCTTCACTCAGCTCACCCTTTAATAGGGGAAGTAGATTACTATGAGCTTCACCCAGCTCACCCTTTAATAAGGGAAGTAGATTACTATGAGTTTCACCCAGCTCACCCTTTAACACAGGAAGTAGATTACTATGAGTTTCACCCAGTTCACCCTTAACAATGAAAGTAGATTACTATGAGCATCACCTAGCTCACCCTTTAATAAGGGAAGTAGATTACTATGAGCTTCACCCAGCTCACCCATTTAACATGAATATTTTAATATATCAAAATGATAATGAATTATTTGAAACAACTGATCCAAGTAGGGAATACTTTATTAAAACTAAAGTTGATAACAAGACTATTGAAAACATTCATTCGTAGAGAATGAAATAATTATTGAAACTAGAAGTATTAGCAAAAACAAATAATAAATTGAGATTAAACTGAAATTGTTTACTGATAATATTTCTTCAGATGCTCAACATTCCATGGGTGAGGCAGTGGCTTTCCCTCTAAGTCCTTCAACCAGTATGTTCCTGGTCGTTGACATCACATAACTTTGTAAGACCCTTTTCATTTGGGACCCAGTTTCCCTATTGTTGAATCCTTAGTTGTTTGAGTAACTTTGAGGAGTACTAAATCTCCTACTGAGAACCTCCTAGGCTTGACTCGAGCATTGTAATACTTGGAAACCTTCTGTTGATAGGCAGCTATCCTAATCTAGGCTTGGTCTCTCATTTCTTCGATCAGGTCTAAGTTTGCTTCTAACTCCCTTTCGTTCTGCTTAGGCTCGTAGTGCTCCGTCCTAAAGCTTGTTAGGCCAATCTCTACAGGTACTACTATCTCACTCCCAAACGCTAAAAGAAAAAGGGTTTCCCCCGTGGGAGTCCTTACAGTAGTACAGTAAATCAATAGTACACTCGGTAGCTGCTCAGGCTACAGTCCCTTAGCAGCGTCGAGTCGAGTCTTGATCATCTGAAGGATTGTTCTGTTTGTGACTTCAGCCTGTCCATTCACCTGGGGATGCCTTGGCAATGAGAAATGAATTTGAATCCCGAGCTCGGAACAAAAGTTTTTGAAGTCAGAGTTGTCGAACTATTTTGCATTATCTGTGACAATCACTCTAGGAATCCTAAATCTGCAAACTATTGATTTTCACACGAAGTTCCTTATATTATTCTCTGTTATGTTGGTTAGAGGCTTAACTTCTACCCATTTAGTGAAGTAATCAACCATAACAATGGCATACTTAGTCTGCCATTTGCCCTTGACGAGAAGGCCAATCAAGTCCATTTCCCATTGAGCAAATGACCATGGTCCTGACATGGTAGTCATCTTCTCTGACGGTTGTCTCGAGATGTTGGCAAATTGTTGACACTTGTCGCACTTTTTAACGAAGTCAAGTGCATCTTTCTACATGGGGGCCAATAGTATCCTTATCTAATGGCCTTGTTAGCAAGTGACCTACCCCCAGCATGGTTTCCACAAACTCCGAGGTGGATCTCCCTAAAAATGTAGTCAGCTTCCTCACTAGAAATGCATCGTAAATACGGAATGGAAAAGCTTCTCTTGTAGAGCACCCTTTTGATAAACATATACCTAGCTGCCCGCATCTTGACCTTTCGAGCTTCTTCTCGGTCTATTGGTAGCACCCCATCCTTGATATAGCTAATGATAGGATTTGCCCATTCCACACTCAATATCGCTTGTTGCACTTTAATTTGTCTCTCCTAAGATATAGATAGTTCGTCCAAATATTCCAGTGGTATAGTCTTATTGATCTCAGGTTCCAATGCAGTAGCTAGCCAGGCTAAGGCGTCTGCTTTCCCATTATCTTCTCGTGGTCTTTGATGAATTGAGAATCTTTGGAAGTGATTCTTTAATTCTTCCACCTTCTGTAGGTAACTTTTCATCTTCTCGTCCCGTGCCTCATATTCCGCTCAAACTTATCCAGTGACCAGTTGGGAGTCAGTGTACACCTTTAATTGCTCAAACCCTAGGGCATTTGCCACATTTAATCCTGCTATCAAGGCTTTATACTCTACCTCGTTGTTGGTTGCTTTGAAACCAAACTGAAATGCGTACTGTATATTTTTTCCCCCTGGGGAGACAAAAACAAGCCAAGCTCTGCTAGCCTGAACATTACATGACCCATCTACGAATAAGTTCCAGACTACTTCTGGGCCCATCTACTCATTTGAACCTGGTTCTGTAAAAAAATTGGGGTTATTTATCCTCTTTTGGAGGGGTAAACTCAGCTAAGAAATTAACCAATACCTGAGCCTTTACTGTTGTTCTTGGCTATAATGAATGTCGAATTCTCCTAACTCTACTGATCACTTCATTAGTCGAACTAGAGCTTTCTGGCTTATGTAGGACCTGTCGGAAGGGTTGATCTGTTAGCACCACTATCGTATGCACTTGAAAGTATAATCTCAGTTTCTTGGTGGACACAATTAGAGTAAAGGCCAACTGTTCCATCCTTGGATATCTTTCCTCCGTACCCCTAAGTGCTCTGCTCACGAAGTACACTGGCCTTTGGACCCCTTCTTCTTCTCGTATCAGAGCGGAACTGACAACTGTTGTGGAGACCGCAAGGTATATGTATAGTTCCTCTCCCAGTATGGTTCGAGATAGTAGTGGGGGAGAACTAAGGTATTGCTTTAGTTTTTTAAACGCCTGCTCACACTATGGGGTCTATTCAAAAGCCTTTCTTAGCACACGAAAAAAAGGTAGACACCTGTCAGTTGACCAAGAGATTAGCTTACTCAAGGCAGCAATCTTCCCTGTTAGTCGTTGTAGATCATTGGTTAATCTTGGCGATTTCATGTCAATGACTGCTCGGATCTTCTCTGGATTGGCCTCAATTCCTCTTTTGCTTACCATATATCCCAAGAACTTTCCTGAGCAAACCCCAAAGGCACACTTGCTGGGGTTGAGTTTCATCTTATGCCTCCTAAGTACCTCAAAGGTCTCTTACAGATCAGTCAAATGGTCTTCAGCTTTTAAGCTTTTCATCAACATGTCTTCAACATATACCTCTATATTTCTACCAATTTGGTGCTTTAACATTGCATTCACTAGCCTCTGGTATCTTGCACCAGCGTTCTTGAGCCCAAAAGGCATTATTTTGTAATAGTATAAACCTCTATCAGTGATGAAGGCCATTTTTTCTCTATCTGAGGTGTACATAGATATCTGGTTGTATCCAGAATATGCATACATGAAACTTAGTAGTTCGTGTCCAATCGGTCCCTCAACGAGCATATCAATTCTTAGGGGAGGAAAGTTGTCCTTCAGGCAAGCTTTATTAAGGTCGTGAAATCCACACATAGCCTCCACTTTCCATTTGCCTTCTTCACTAGGACCACATTTGCCAGCCAGTCAGGGATATACACCTTTTGAATAAAGTCGGCTTTTAATAGCTTTTCCACCTCTTCTGATATAGCCTGATTCCTCTCTGGAGTGAAAGTCCTCCTCTTTTGTCTGATAGGTTTGAAGTTAGGATTTACATTTAAGCGGTGCTCTATGATAGTGGGGTCTATACCAGGTATGTCTTCATGCACCCATGCAAATACGTCTTGATTTTTCCTGAGAAATTGAGTAAGTTTATCTTTGATACCTGGGGGGAGTAAAAACCCTATATTCACTTTCTTCTCGGGCTCACCATTACCAAGGATAACTTCTTCTAGTTCTTTTATAGGTTCCGCTCCATGAAAATCTGGCCTACCTCTCCCTTCCAGCCCTTCAATCGTAAGTACCTCTTATGATTTTGTTTTTCTGAGAGAGGCGACATAACATTCTCGAGCCATTATTTGGTCCCCTCTTAGCTCTCCCGTACCATATTCAGTTGGGAAACGTATCAAGAGATGGTAAGTGGAAATGATTACTTTTATGGCATTCAATGCTGTCATCCCCAAGATAATGTTGTATGATGATGGGCAGTCAACCACTACAAAGCCCACCATTATAGTGACCTGCTTTGGATTGGCTCCTGCAGTGACTAGAAGAGTAACTGCCCCCAGTGGATATACTTTGTCACCTGAAAATCCCACCAGTGGTGACTTCATAGGTCGGAGCTTCTCTCAATCGATTTTTAATTTGTCGTACACCCCAAGAAATAGTATGTCAGCTGAGCTACCACTGTCTATCAGTATTCGTCGAACAGTGAAATTAGCAACAACCATGGAAACTACCAGAGGGTCATTATGGGGCTGGTGAATTCCTTTGTCATCTTCTTCAGAAAAGGTTATGACCGGCTCCTCAACTCGCGGTAATTTTGTTTGAGGACTTATCACTCTAACTTCATTCACCTCTGAAAAACTCTGAATTCTCCTTGCATGAGCCCTCCGAGCCAAACTCGTCTCCCCACCACCAGCGAAGCCATTGATATAACTTAGATCTCACCCATTGGTTGGTGTTGAGGAGGGCGATCATCTCGGCCCTCTCGGGCTGGGTTGGAGCCTCATTTTCCATTCCCAGTCGTAAATTTGCATAAATGACCCTTACGAACAAGGTTCTCGATCTGGTTTTTGAGATCGAAGCAATATTCTGTGTTATGTCTATGGTCCCGGTGGAACCTACAGTATTTATCTCGAGACGTCTTTGTTGGATTAACTTTTAGCTTTGGCGGCCATTTCAATGATGCGTCATTTTGAATCTGCAGAAAGACCTACTTTACAGACGTATTTAGGGGGGTGTGATACCCCTCGGATCCGATACACGGGTTGATCAGGCTCAAGCCCAAACCCGAGGAAATATCAAATAATTAATATTTAACAAACACAGAATACAAAGAGAATACTAAGAAATAAATAATAAAACGGAAAAGAATTCTAATTGAAAAATCCTCAAAAATATAATTGTTAAAATCCAATAATCCAAAACCTCTATTAATTTAACAACTCAGGAATCCATCCTTGTGGACCCCTATTTAAATTCCAAACTGAAACAGAAAAATAAAGCTAAACATAGAAGGTAGTCCTACGTAATCAGAGGAATGAATATCTGTATCTCCTCTGCACGACCAAGCTCTATCCCTGGAACTGACGAGTACCTGAAAAATAAGGAAGTGGGTCAGGCCTACACACAAGTCCTATTCTACTACGATCCATACAAAAACCAGATACGCAGATACATTCTAGATAGCTCAACAATATCTAGAGTAGTCCATATATGTATAGTACACACTATAGGATGCTCACTAGTCTAGTAGGTCTGTCTCAGCCTAAGTAGAGATACCATGTAAATCGCACATAATGTGGTCATGTGTACCTAGACCTACCAGGGAACAACACCTCTGTCCAGTTATCCATCCTAGGCGATATACGCATCCTAACCATGGTCCTGAGACTCAAGCTCATACCATGGCACCATATCATAAATATATAAAGTCCGTATCCTCTTATTACAAAATATCAACTACCTAGTCTAGTGGCCTAATATGTATGTAAAACAATCAATCCAGGAAACCAAGTTATATCATTCAGTTATTCACTGACCTGACACCAATATGAGTCGGACTTAACCTTTATGATTAATCCATACCTCAATCCAGATTAGGTAGGATTTAGTGTTTGAACTAATCCATACCTAGTATACCACTGTCCCATACCGGTGCATACCATCCTCTAGTTGACAAAATAGTATAAATATTCATCAACCACATCCCAAAATAAGCAAAAATACAGTCTAACATGTGTATAACCAAATTATGCATCCAATATAAGATTTAGAAATCCTATTCCAGTTCTTTAAATTGATAAAGTAAGACTAAACAATTAACTCCTTCAAACAGTATCATAACTGATGCAATATACAACAAATTTAAACATCAGTTAATTCCATCTAAGCATACATATATTTAAACAACTATATGATTATAACACAGTTGAGACATGATTAAAAATTCAAAAGCATACAGAGAAACCAAATTGCTAAAACAGTAAGCAATTAAAAGTTATTTATCCAACCTTCCACATACTGGTTCTCTGTTTAACCTTAGATTAATTTAGTCTTCAATACCTTAATATAAACATGCTTCCTAACATTTTTATAAGTCTATAGCAATTAATTACACCATTCAATACCATTTAAATAGCCTTAGAAAACCCAGTTCAGCCCAAACAGACCTTAAAAACCTGTTTTAATACGTTTTAAAGAGAGAACAAGCTCTCAAAACTTGAGACCCTGCTCCAGAACAAGGAAAGCCGGCTCCCCACCCTTGGGAGCCATCTCTAAGGTGTTGAGAGCCGACTCTCAACCCTTAAGAGTCAGCTCTTGCTTTGTGGAAGCTGGCTCCCTCCCTTTTTGGGGCCTGCTCTCACACCCTTAAGAGCCGTTGTCAGTTTTTTGTTGTCTTCCTCGCCTCTGGCAATCCTTAAAGTCTCTGTATCAATTTTATTATGTGTTCTAAGGTCCCATCCTAGTTCTAGATTGATCATAAGACAGTATTATACAACCAAAACTTGAATTGAACACAAGTTTTTAAGCAACGACAGCAAGATTTCAGATAGAACTTTTAAGCAAACTCTGAATAGATTAATTCAATGAATTACATACTGTTTAAACATGCATAAGAGACATCTTTAAGCTTTAGTTTAATCCCTGGAGCTTACCCAGGCATGCACAGAACACGAGTTAAAGAGAAAGAGTAGAACAAAAACTTGCCTTTAGTTTCAGTTTTGAAACTTTAAACCACCGTCTCTAAATTTTCTGACGAAATCCCCGACTACTGTCCCACCTCTGTTACTCTTGGTTTCACCTACGAACAACCACCCCTTACTATTCCTTGGTCCAACCTTAGTCTAGACCAAACCCTAGCCTTCCTACCTCTGTTTTTCTCTCAAAACTCTCTATGCCTCTCAATATGCTCTGTTCGTGATTTTAGTCATAAACCCTAGACATAACCCATATGATAGTATATATACACAGACGTCTCTAAATCCTAGTCCACTTAGAATTAGAGATTACAAACCCTAACCCAATTCTAGTCGGCACAACGTGGAACATAAAACCCTAAATAATCCCATTAACTTAATTACACACCTAAACAAATATAATAATTAAAGACCCCTATTAAAATAACTTAAATCAGTAATTTAATTAATACAAATAAGTCAAATAGTTACACGTCATGAAAGCCATTAATTCAATAATTCAGATAATTAAACAAACAAAACAATAATTAAACAAATAAACAATTAACCCCTTTAAGAATTCAAATAATCACACAAATAAACAAGTAAATAAATAAAATGCAATTTAAACAATTAAATTAATACTAGGACTATCCTTTTAAGAATTAGGGGTATTACATTCTTCCCCCCTAACAAAAGGAATTCCGTCCTCGGAATTCGCTCTTACCTACTTCTAATATTTCTGGAAACTGTGAGCAAATGACATCCTCATGTTCCCAAGTAGACTCAGCCTCATTGTGATGACTCCATTGAACACTTACCAAAGGGATAACCTTGTTACGAAGCATTTGATCCCTACGGTTGATAATAAGACACGGTGGCTCCAAATAAGTTGCATCCGGCTGCAACTCAATCTCCCTAACATCGATATACTGATACCGATCCTCATCTCATAGAAATTTCCGTAACATGGAAACATAAAACTCGTTGTGTATGTGGTGCAAATTATTCAGAAGTGTCAACCGATAAGCGACAGCTCCAACTCGATCCGTAACCATAAATGGACTTATAAATCGGGGAGACAACTTCCCTTTTTTCCCAAAGCGCATTACTCCTTTCATAGGAGACACTTTAAATAGAACCTGATCCCCAACCTGAAACTCCAAAGCATATGGGCGACGATCGGCATAACTCTTTTGCCGACTCTAAGCAGTGCGCATGCAATCCCGAATCAAAATAATCTTCTCAGAAGTATCCTTGATAAACTCAGGACCCAATAACTTGCTACCGCCAACCTCCATCCAATAAACAGGCGATTGACACAGTCGACCGTACAATGCCTCAAATAGTGCCATACTAATAGTCTTCTGAAAACTATTATTGTATGTAAACTCCACCAGTGGCAAATAATCCTCCCAGTGGCCCTTGACTCAAGAACACACGACCGAAGCATATCCTTCATGATCTGATTCACCCTCTCAGTCTGTCCATTAGTCTAAGGATCATAAGCAGTGCTAAGATGCAACTCTGTACCCAAAGCCTGCTGAAAACTCTTCCAGAATCCTGACACAAATCTCAAATCCCTATCCAATATAATAGACAACGAAATTCCACACAGTTTTACAGTCTCTGTAATGTAACGTCTCGCCAACTACTCCGAAGTGAAGTCAGTACGAATAGGCAAGAAATGAGTTTGACTTAGTTAATCTGTCCACCATGACCCAAATAGAATTGTGATCCTTGAAGGAATTAGGCAATCCCTCCACAAAATCCATAGAAATGCTCTCCCATTTCCACTCCGGTATTGGTAGTGGCTGTAGAGCTCCTGGCGGCCGTTGATGATCAATCTTGACCATCTGACAACTACTACATCGAGAGACAAATATAGCAATGTCCTTTTTCATACCTGCCCACCAAAACTGCCGCTTCATGTCCTGATACATCTTGTCTCCTCCTGGATGAACAAAAAACTCAGAATGATGAGTCTCGGTCATCACATCCTTCCTCAAATCGTTAGCACAAGGTACCACTAACCGTCCCTTGTACCTCAAACCTCCATCAGTCCCAACATAGTAAAATGGAACCTCCCTGGAAGTTATCTCTGTAACTTTGTCAATGCACTACTGATCCATGAGTTGCGCCTTCAAAACCTTATGAATGATAGAAGGTGTAACTACCAGGCAAACCATGAAAGCATCTGACAACTCATCCACCGTCCTCAAAGTATTCCACTCAGTTGTGAATAAAGTAGAAAGACTACCAACAGGTTGGCGACTGAGTGCATCCGCCATCACATTCGCTTTCCCTAGATGGTACTGTATAGAGAATTGATAGTCTTTAACAAACTCTAACCATCGACGTTGTCTCATATTCAGCTCCCACTGAGTAAACAAATATTACAGACTCTTGTGATTACTAAATAATCTGAAGGA